AGTTGTTCTGAACATGATGGTGAAACTGTAGGAACCCAGTGCTGGTATGTTTTCATTGACAAACATTATTTATCTACTAATAAGCAAATATGAAACACATTTTATATTAGGAATGAACACAAAAGGAAAATAAAATAAAGTCATGATCATTGTTCTTTTTGAACAAAAACACTAATACTAGGTCAGCATTCATTTTTACTTATGTGACAATGTATATCAAAGTACTCCTTGGTAAGGTGTTACACTGTAGTGCCTCCCAGTAATTAAAATGGATGGTAGAATTCCCTTGAAAATCCTTTTACATTGTTGGGTTTATTTATTGAAGGGTTTTCTTAGTCACAGAATTTTGAACTGACTGCAAAAATTGAGAATTCTTAGAAAAATTGGTGGACAGAGCCCCTTAGACTTGGTATTAAGTCAAACACCAGGTATTAAGTCAAACACTTGGTATTAAGTCAAAAACGCTCATTTTGTGACCCCCTAAATCTGCTGCAAGGGAAGAAAACTCTGGAACAATTTGATAGGGTCCTAGCAGTATCAAATATTTGGTTTGAATGTTACTCCCTAAAAAAAGTCTGCTTCTCTATGTAGTTATGGATACTGTGAGTCCACTAAAAAAACTCCCCAATACACTATATAGACCATACATTTATTCAGCAGAGTCTCATTTACCTGCAAATAGCATTTGAGGAAGAAATTTAGAGTATATTACATCCCTTTGGGTTTGCATGCTTATAAGTTATTGAAGCTTTGTCTAAGGCAGATGGAGAATGAGTAAATGATGGATAGAAAGGAAGTAATTCAATAGAGTTAAGATTCTATGCCTCAAACTATATGGGACAACCCTAAGTTTCAGGTAATGAATAGGATGAAGAGGGAGAGCAGAATCCATTAACACAGTTAGTATTGCTTCATGGTAGAAAGACATTATTTTCCAGGTATTCACCAGTAGAATTCTATGGTGGCCTAAGCCCTTGGCTTAGCATCTACATCGGTTGGTGGAGCTGAGGTGGTGGTAGGGCAGTTCCTTAAACAGGATGTCTCTGTTTCTTCTAATAGATGAGGAAGGGGACCACAAAAGGGTTATAGGAAACAGCTTGCATACCAATGATAGACATGTTAGAATAATCCTTATTTTAATAACCAATATACAATTGGCATGTGTTGCTTATAAGTATAATTGTATGATATGGAAAGATGGTTGATAATTTTTGCCTTCTCTTTGGAGATGCCTGGAGAGTACTGATCCTCAAAATATGGTCCTGGGAGCTTATAAGAAATAAAAGATCTTGCAATTCACCAAAGATCCTAAGAATTGAAAAGATCATCCCAAGAAGATCCTGGTTATCATAAACACTCACACATCCTTTCTCATATTACTTATAGAGACTAATTGTACACATCCTAGAAAATCCCTAGTTTTGTATACTAAAACTTCCCTAATAATTTTGAGTTATTCACTGATCAACTCCCCTCCAATTTTTTAATTTTTTATTTATATCTCCCAAGCTTATGAAATTCAATAGTGACTTTTGAGTTTCTCAAGTATGTTTGAACTTTTCACTATAAACTTTACCTCTCTTAGTGGTCCAGGACCACGAAGCATTTTCATCTAATATAAATTGTTGCTTAGATTTTGTTTAGATCTTTCATGAACCTATAAATGATTGTTATTTACAGTAAAACTGAACATATGACCTCAAGAAGTAAATTTTTTATGTGTACTGTACTGGTGCTATCTTTGAACGTTTTCACTCAAGACTAATATCTTCTAGCTTTTTTGGAGGGAGGGAGTCCGGTCGTGGGGCCTGAGCTCTGGGCCATGGCACTGTCCCTCAGCTCTTGAGCTCAATGCTAGCGCTCTACCACTTGAGCTACAGTGCAACTTCTGGCTTTTTTCTTTTTGCTTATGTGGTGCTGAGGAATCGAACCCAGGGCCTCATGAATACAAGGCAAGTGCTCTACCACTGAGCCACCTTCCCAGTCCTCTTCTGGCTTTTTAATGGTTAATTTGTTTAGAGTCTCACAGACCTTCCTGCTCAACATGGATTAGAACTATGATCATGAGATATCAGCCTCTTGAGTAGTTCGGATTTCAGATGTAATCCACTGGAACCCAGAAAATAAGTGGATTATTAACTTCTTAATAGAACAAAAGTTTCTGTTTGTAAACATTTACTAATTTGGTCCTCAGGAAATGCATATCAAACACTTTTCTATTGAGAACCCACTCAAGGTTTGAGCTGTAAACTATTATTTTGTTTTTTTCTCATTCATGCTTTTATTTCACTTTTGTTCTTTTTTCATGTTAGTAGAATCAGGAAACAGAGAAAAATATTTGTAAATTCTGGAAGCATTGAAAGCAAAATGAGCTTGCAAATATTGCAAACATTTGCTTTTATTCCCTGCACCCTAAAATTCAAATAAACCATAGTGGTTACATTTTTCCTACATTTAACATTTCTTATTAAACTTTGAACAATTCTTTGCAGATCAAAGCTTCTGTTGTTTTCTCATCTAGTCTTATATAATGAGACAGAATCATAACCACATACTAGGCAACTACGTTTAGACCGAAGTCAAATGAGAGAAGACAGGGAATATAGCTTTCCTTAAGGCTAAAATGTAAATTTTGTTTCATATTGTTTTATTTTTCATGTATTAGTGTTATAGGCTAAAGTTTTTATTTTTGACCAAATGAAGTGAGATATTTTTAAAGTCTATTCTTTTGATTTTCAGATTAGGTCTGATAAATTAAAAGGCAGATACGTTTTTAAAATTACACATCTTTTATGTACATCTCTGTACATAACTTTTACAATAAGAATTTAAAAAATTTAAAAATTATGTGAAGCACTTCTCTACCCAAGATAAAAATAAACATTTCAAAATACAGAAAGCTTATCTTTTTAGAAGCATAATATTAAAGTGTACTCAAGATAGAGAAGTGAAAACCACTGTCAACTTGGAGTATTTCCAACTTTTGATTGTCATATTTTGCATTAAAAAAGCTAATCTATCTAAAATTTCACATTCCCCAGATAAAATAATTGAGAAGACATATATTAGCTAAAAATCTCCTTATTCTAAATAAAATGTGATTTAAATATAAACACATCAAATAATTATTAGATATTAAAAACTTTAAATAAGTAAAGATTGAAGTCAACAATGATAAAACTTTTCAGAAGCATTGTGAAATTGTCTCTCATGACTTCAGGAAGTGGTGATGAAGGACAGACCCGAACACATGGGAGTGAGAACTCACTCAAGGTGTCATGTGGCAGCTTCACAATCTCTAAGAGTGTCAGACAGGAAAGAAGCACTGGAAGCTGCCTTGAGAATCTGTTGAGCTTGGCTTTGCCAGATGTACCATCTGAGCAGGAAAGAGGATTTATTTTACGTGACAAAACATCTTAGAATCATTTCTTAAAACAATTCTGGATTTCTTATTTCTTCTGTATTGTATCCTGAGATATCTACTAGGAAAGAATGAATTTCCAAGTGAACTTTTGACAGAGTGCATGCTATTCTTAACTATTATAAATAAGAGACAATTTTTTTTATCATTCATCATTTACTTTTATTTATATGGTACTTATTTGGGTTGTGTGGTATTTTCAATAGTTTAGCTTCTTTACAAAAGGTATGATAATCAAGATTTGAAAATAATTGAAGTTGATAAGGTATTGTTACTCTTGTATGTTTTTGATTAGGCATTTATAATACTAAAAGAAATACTTTCTGAAAATTGAAACAAGTATAACTTATTAGTACAGTTTTATTCCATTAGGAAATTAGGCAACAATATTATTGAGAAAAATTCTGCTTCATAGAAAATGTACTCATTACCTTGCTCATGTAACTGTAACCCCTCTGTACAGTATTTTTAAAATAAAAAACTTATTAAAAAGAATAAAGAAATATTACTAAATTATAATCTTAAAAAGTTATAATTTTAACTCTCAAATATAAAATGAACACATATCAAAGGCTGATAGAATAAGGGAGCAAATTCTCATATGCATAGTCAAATAAGGAATATAGAAATAAAGTTATATATAGATACAAAAATTAGCAAAATTTAAGCTGAATTCTTAGGATATTAATTTAATTCCAATACATACAATTTGCATTGATATAGATAAGAATCATTTTTATTACTATCATTTTTAAACACATGTCATAGGGATAAAATAGCTGAAGTCAATGAAAACCTCTGTAGAAAAGATGACTGGGAGTATATGCTAAAAAAATGACTTAACTTTTCTTTCATACTTTCAAAAATCCTCATGACTTTTTCTTGTCATTTCTGTGGAGAGAAAAGCCACCATAATTACTTGTACATCTCATTGTTGCAATGGGTCCACCTGTATCCCTATTTAAATGATTTGTTTTTTCCCTTCCCCTCCACAAATTATATCAACATCAAATACAGTGAAAGCAGAGGTTATACCGTGGGGGAGGGACATACAAAGCAACAAAAAATCATCTTATAAATATGTTAGAAACAATTGCATGAAAGAAAAAAAACATTTGAATACATATCTTGGGGTCCATTTCCCTAACATCAACTTATCTGACCTTTTCTGCTTGACTCCGACATTTGGTTGGGGGGGGGGGAGAGAGGATCAGGTAGGCGGGACAGGAGGGGGATGAGAAGGCATGGGAAAGGGAAACAAAGGAGGAGGCAACAATGCTTGATAAGAAATGTACTCATTACCTGGCCCATGTAATTGTAACCCCTCTGTACGGTATTTTCACAATAAAAAATAAATAAATCCCCTAAAAAAAAAAAGAAAAGTCATCAATGAAACAAGTTGGTCAACCGTAGAGTGCAATTACAATGCATGGTGTAGAATAACGCATTTCCCATGTAAATTTGGTTAGGTAGTGTGTATCAATTCTGTAATGTTTTCACAATCTATCATACTTTCCTAATTTTGCTATTATACTCTCTTTTCTTGCCTCAGATCTATTAGTTAAAACTGATAGCTCCTGTGCTGGCTTTGTCAGCACACATTCTAAAATTATAATGATACAGGGAAGATTAGCATGACTCCTGAGTAAAAATGACATGCAAATGCATGAAGTGTTCCATATGTTTCTATTTCTAATTTAAAATTATACAAAAAAAAGAAAAAGGTGTTTTTCTGAAGTAAGCTTTCAGCACCTCTATTCTTGGTAAGGATGAGCAATAGTTCATTAAAAATGAAAATGGCATTAGTTCAGAGATTCAGAGCTGCTTCACTTGAACGGTGTCCAAATATTTTTGTAAGATTTTTTTGAAATTGTTACTGCAAAGGTGATTATGTACAGAGGGGTTACTGTTACATAAGTCTGGTAATGAATACATTTCATTTTGAACAGTGCCACATCTTCCCTCTTTGGATGGTTTCCATTATTTGTTGTGACTAGAATGTGCTTATAAATCTACAAAACACCCTGGATGGAAACAGAGGAAAGAACACACTTTGACATGATAAATTATACAGGACTCTAGACATTCACACAGTGAAACCAAAGGAGACCATTCTTAGAAGAGGATCACACAGGCTCAATATCTATGGGCATATGATTATACAAAATGATGTTTATCAAAATGAACAAATTTTGGATCTTAGGATTTCTTTATATTCTTCAAAATTACTTAGGAGTTTGTCAATGTGCACTACATCTTTTGATATGTACTATATTAGAAATTAAAGGAGCTTTATAAAATACTGCATTTATGCTAAAATAACAATAAATATACCTTCCTGATTTGTTAAATATAAATTTCAAAAAAGAATCCGACAGTTACTGAACTTACTCATTCTTGTATTTTCAAGTTATTTTATGACTCTGAGAATAAGTAGGCGAGAGAAGCATAACTAAATGTTTTTTTAGATTTTAGCCTATTCATGTGAGACATTTCATTAACAAATAAAAAAGTAACTGTAAGTTAATTTTATAATTTATCTGGAGGGATTCATTTTAATATAAGGGTAATTCCTTGTTAGTTGAAGCAATCTATGAAATATATCTGGAGTGGAGTGTCATTTTGTTTTATATACAGATTGTTTTGTGGCTCCTTGTTTTATGAGTGTTTAAGCCTTTCTGAAGAATGAAATTTGATGCTTATTGACATATTTATCTCAAAATGAAAGAAATATTTAATTCAGAATTAAAATGGCCAGGGCTGGGAAGGTGGCTCAGTGGTAGAGCGCTTGCCTTGCATGCTTGAGGCCCTGGGTTCGATTCCTCAGTACCACATAAGCAAAAAGAAAAAAAGCCAGAAGTGGCGCTGTGGCTCAAGTGGTAGAGCGCTAGCCTTGAGCTGAAGAGCTAAGGGACAGCGCCCAGGCCGAGTTCAGGCCCTATGACCAGACCAAAAAAAAGAATTAAAATGGCCAATGATCAAAGAAACCTTTGTTTTTTAAAAAAAAAATAAGTTTCTTATTGTGAAAATACTGTACAGAGGGGTTACAATTACATAAGCAAGGTAATGAATACATTTCTTATCAAGCATTGTTGCCTCCTCCTTTGTTTTTCCCCTACCATCCCTTCTTAATTTTTTGTTTGGTCTAAGTAGACTGAACTTTCCTGACCACATGTGACATAAACCATTGATTGATTGCATTTAGTGAACCAAAATAAGCTCTCCATGTGGAATAACAATATGCTGATGTTTACAAAGTGCTTATTCTGTTAGCAGAGAATATGCTATGTTGGTTCAGGGCTGGTAACTGTGTTCCATATGATCAGTATCCTTACTTCCTACCACTTGCAGTCCCAAGACATTTGCTATACTTAGCCAAAGTGTTTTAGAAAAGGAATGAATGGCATTTCTTCTAAAACCAGCTCAGCTCTTGGGAATATGTAAAAGTTTGTACTACTCAGACTTAGTTTAATATTCCTGCTGAAATTTTTTGAATGAACTTAAAGAAGAACACAACCATTCTTGATTTAAAAAAAATGTTCAAGAGTTTAGCAACTTGACCCCATCAAAAAGAATTATAAGTAAGATGATGGTCTGAGCTTTCGACACTGGCCTGGGTAAAGCAAGTAAGTATATTATATTAAGAGTGCTATTCCAGGGAAACCAAAGTAGAAAAAACAAACAATCCTCTAATAGGAATATTTGCTCTGTCTTCGTGATTCTAATAGCTCAAATCTTTAATTTTTCTCAAACTTCATATTTTACTGAAGTTGTATTCCATTTGTATGTAATATAATTCACAACCAACAAAAATAGTTGAATACTGCTTTTCCATTCAGGAGCAAAGCCATTAGAACTGGAAACTCATGAGCAGTATTGCTTAATATTCTGAGCAAGTATGGGAACAAATAATAAAACTGACTTATTAATCATATCTTTGTTTAGGATAATGGATTTTAGTTTTTGGACAAAAAGCTAGGGTAAATCTTTTTCTTTAACCAAAATATTCTTTATATCAAAAAAACATTGTTTTCAGGTTCTCTATTTTATATGAGGATCTTTAGCCATTTGATTTCACCTTAGGAAAATGAACCCACTCCTCCCATTTCCCTTGTAGTACTGGGATTGAACCCAAGGTTTCATAAATGAGAGGCAAGCCCCAAACCATTTGAACAATGCCCCCGTCTTTTTGTGTTTTGTGTTTGAAATAGTATTTTAAAGCTACTAAGACTGCATTTCAGGATATTTTCCCAGGACGTCTGGAACCATCTCCAGTTCCAGTATAGCTGGAATTTCAGTCATGAGTTACCAGGCCTGGACAAACATCATTAAAAAAAATTCTTTACATTTCTTTTATGGCTAGGGAGGTCGAGCATTTCTGCATGTGTCTATTGGCCATTCTTCTTTCCTCTTCAGAGAAGCTTCTCTTTAAGTCTTTAGCCCACTTATTTATTGGGCAGTTGTTTCTTTGAAGATTTGTTGTTGGGGGATTTAATTTTTTAGATATTTTAGATATCTTAGATATCTAAAATTTTTTATTTTAGATATGAGACCCTTGTCTGTTGTATGGCTAGTGAAGATCTTCTCCCAATCTGTGGGCTTTCTATTGATCTTGCTAGCTATGTCCTTTGCCATGCAGAAGCTCTGCAACTTCATGCAATCCCATTTGTCCAACCTTTCTTTGATTTGTTGTGTTTCTGGGTCTCTATTAAGAAAATTTCGGCCTGTGCCAAGGAGACCTAGGGTTTCTCCTATTCCATCCATCCTGTAATGTTTTCAGGGTGTCTGCTTTGACTCCCAGGTCTTTGATCCATTTGGAGTTGATTCTGGTGCAGAGAAACTTCTCTGAAGAGGAAAGAAGGATGGCCAATAAACACATAAAGAAATGCTCAGCTTCCCTAGCCATAAAAGAAATGCAAATCAAAACAACATTGAGATACCACCTCACCCCAGTTAGAATGGCTATAATCAAGAACTCTAATAACAACAGATGCTGGAGGGGATGTGGACAGAAGGGAACCCTACTGCGTTGTTGTTTGGAGGAACCCTACTGCGTTGTTGTTGGGAGTGTAAACTTGTTCAACCACTTTGGAAAGTAGTATGGAGGTTCCTCAAAAGACTCCACATAGAGCTCCCCTATGATCCAGCAATCCTACTTTTGGGCATTTACCCAAGTGTTTACAAACAAGACCATACTAAATCTACCAGCACAACTATGTTTATTGCATCATTATTTACCATAGCTAAGATATGAAACCAACCCAGATGCCCCTCAGTAGTTGAATGGATCAAGAAAATGTGGTATATATACACAATGGAATTCTATGCCTCCATCAGAAAGAATGGCATTGCCCTATTTGTTAGGAAATGGAAAGGCTTGCAAAAAATTACATTAAGTGAAGTAAGCCAGGCCCAAAGAAACATAGGTCCCATGGTTTCCCTTATTTGCAATAACTAGTATATGTCTGAGACAAGCTGAAACGGTCAGATAAGTTGATGTTAGGTTAAATGAACCCCACAATAAGTATTCAAATATTTTCTTTCATGCGATTGTTTCTAACATATTTCTTTGTTGCTTTGTATGTCCACCCCCCTACACACACAGTATAACCCCTGTTTACACTACATTTGATGTTGGTATACTTTGTGGAGGGGAAGGGAAAAACGAAATTGTTTAAATAGTGATACAGGTGGACCCACTGCAACAATGAGATGTAGAAGTTGTTATGTCAAAAAACGAACTTTACAACTTTGGCGCAGGGGGGGAATAGGGATGGGCAGAGAGGGAGTAAGGAGATGGGAAGGGATGGTAAGGGGAAACAGGAAGAGGCAACAATGCTTGATAAGAAATGTACTCATGGGGGCTGGGAAGGTGGCTCAGTGGTAGAGCAGTTGCCTTGCATGCATGAGGGCCTGGGTTCGATTCCTGAGCACCACATAAGCAAAAGGAAAAAACCTGGAAGTGGCGCTGTGGCTCAAGTGGTAGAGTGCTAGCCTTGAGCTGAAGAGCTGAGAGACAGCGCCCAGGCCCAGAGTTCAGGCCCCAAAACCAGACCTCCCCTCTCCCCCCAAAAAAGAAATGTACTCATTACCTTGCCCATGTAATTATAACCCCTCTGTACGGTATTTTCACAATAAAAAAATTCTTTAAATATTGGATATGGTATAGCATTTTGTTTTTGAAATAGTGTAGGAGTATATTTTTTCTTCTTCATTACATATCAGTATATTTTCCCCAGTGTCAGGATTTGGACTCAAGATCTCAAGCTTGTTTGGCTTGCTTACTTACAGCTGGCCCCACAACAGTTGAGCCACATTTCCAGTCTGACTTTTTGCTGGCTATTTTGCAAATGGAATCTCTCCAATTTTTCTGTCCAGGCTGATCTCTGACACAAAAAAACCTCTAAGCCTTAGCCTCCTGAGAAGCTAGAATTATAGGCATGAGCCACTAACATCCAGCTACTTGAAAAATGTTGACATTTTACTGATGCTATTTTCTATACAGTTATGGAATTTTAAATCTGCAATTTTATCACAACAATATTGCTTCTTTGGGCTAGCCCTACAAGGCCAAATCTAATAATTAATGAAGTTAGGAAAATTAAGTTAAGCCTTTAAAAAGCATAAATCCATGTGTAAGATTTAATAAAATTTTGCTAACTTTTCCTTCAACAGTCCATCTAGGG